ATAGAGCGTTGGATTTTGACCCAGTGGCTCAATGGCAACGCGCTGGCCACGGAACCTGAAGTTCGCGGCTTCGATCCCTGGCGCGGTCATGGGTGCGCACTGCTGAGGACGAAACAGCTATCCAGTGCTCTCAGGTTTCCTTTGTTCCTCTAACTGATTTCAGTCTACGATGAATAACAACTTGAATAAAATATTTCCCGAAGGGAATTTGATTGGCTGAATGATTTACCTGCATTTTCGTATATGCAGTCCATCCACCCAACTGGCAGTTTGGAGATAGGAAAGTCATACGTCGAAAGTGTTAGCACTAGGTTGGTCATTTATCTATTGTGACAGAACTCTCATCCTTATTGGTTCTCCTGCAGTAACCAATGACAAAACATCACCGTTTTAATGTATTTATTTCAAGAACATTCTGGACATACACCATTAACTGAAAGATGAGGTAAGTTCTCAGTGAATGCTTTTGATGCAAAAATTGAATTATTTAAGTGGAGAACAGAAGTACTGATGTTGGTTGCTTTTGCCTTACAGAATAGCAGGAAATATACTTCATGTTGCACTATTGATATGCTTGTGTTTTGTTGGACTGGCCTTATGCAACCCGTCATCCAATGAAGAATTCAAAGTGGAACTAGATCGCCTGGAGAATGAAGTATTCGAGAAGGTTATTTCAGGGAATGAATCTTACAGACACGTAAGTGATTTACAGGAATAAATTCACCTGACTAGTCGAACCATTATTACTACAATCAACTAGTGAGGCTTGATCAGCCATCGCCAGTTAGTTTTCAAGGGGTAGAAACATCTGTAGTCCATCCAGGAGGATATGGGGTAAGTCAGCCGTTCATGTGAAGAAGCAGCAATGTTATTATGTGTAGAAATGGTCAACTTCATTCAAAATAAAATATTATGGTAGATTTCATTCGTCGGTTCATGTCAAGTGGGGAGGTAAGTAACTCATCTTGAAAAATTCAGAATTTTCTGACTTATAATGCAATGATTTATATAAATGAATTTTATTTTTGTATAAATCGAGAGAGGCAGAGAGGTCTGGATAAACGCCAATACAGGGTATATTTCACCAAGCGTTATCTGCAGGCATTTCTGATAGACTGAACTCAAATGAAATACTCATGGGCAATAAGAACTGTCCATCGTTATCATCACTTTCTAGTGTGTTCGCTGCATTTCGCTGAATAACACAACACTGAAAGCCGTGTACGTTCAAAGAGTGTCATCAGCCATGATAAGGGAATTCTTCTCAATGCTGATGGAGAATACTGACTTTATTTCCTAGTTTTGTAAGTGCTGACTTTAATGTCGAATTTCCTCCAATGTTTTCGACTCTGACGTAATCAAGTCCTCCACTTTTATATCATCAAGTGATGATTACTAAGTTGACCAAGGAAACTGATCATATGGTCTTCTTTCTTCAATTCCAAAGCCTGACAAAACATTGCCCATTCCTTTGGGATGTGTCCAACTAATAAGTGTCAACCACAAGTTTATAGATGGTAGTTTTAATGACATCTACAATTATTGCATTTTAATCTGGCTTTTTATTTCACAAAGCGTCAAACAGAGGTTACATTTCTAAAATATGTCGAATGATTTCTGTGAAATGCTTGTTTTTATTACCCCAAAAAGGCGATACACTCATAGGATTCATAAACTATAACTCGGATTACGGCGCCATCAACAGTCTCGACGGAGCTCAAAAGGAAATTGGACTGAAAGTTTTAAATACGGGTGAGTGTTTCATGAATGATGCGCGAAATATATTGTCCTTCTTTCATTCCACAGCATTGTGAGAAACCATTCCCAGAAACATTGAGAACAGTAGTGTCATCAAACACATTCGCTTGATTTTAGGTAAAATGTAGACTACGCGTATCAAATAAGACAGTGACTTCATCGGCATACCACAGTTTCAGGCATGCTTACCTGGCAATATACACTTATTCCATACTCATATTTTTCCAAAAAGAGAATAAGCACTGAATCTGGTGGTTGCGTTCAACTAAATTACTGGGTCAAGTCTAACCGAATGCCTTGAAACTACAAAATTTATGCAGTTCTGCAAGGTCACACATCAAAACAAGTTGTGCGTCATCGCCATTTCGTAGATCCCTCGAGGTTGCCAATATGTCTTGCTCATGAGTGACAGAAAGCAGAAAACATATGTCCAGAGGTTTCTCTCCATTTTCGCCATCTTTCTTACATCAGAGGTGAAACACATTGTCGTAAAATCCTAAAATGTTGATCTTCAGTTAAGTGAATAGATGAAAGTTCAAAGTAATCAGAAAGATGGGTAAAACAGTTGTATTCTGTTCATTTTACAGACGAATATCTGGCCATGAAATGGTTGAATATTAGCACAAGTCGACATGTAGCTGACGAAGTGGATGGTGATGGTGAGTGAAGTCTATTTTAATATCAAATCGCATACGTTAGTAAAAGCTGTCAAAGATTCGTGCATGTAAAACAAAGTAAACCTGATGCATTCGATATATTTATGTGTGAAATCAGGCTGAATTATTAGAAATTATATTTCATGTCTTTTGAAACAGGATTACATAAGATTTGATAGGTTTCCGAGTTATGTGTTCTTCGGTGCGTTGAATCGACAAATATGCTTCAGAATGATCCTCTTCTGGTTTTCAACTACCCGTGACCTTGTAACAGTGTGAAGGGAAGTGTTACACCACCTACTGCCTTGACAAATAACTTGAAGCGTGTCAACTTTGTTGAGTCTTCACAAATGCAGTTTGACAACACTGTTTATGGCTCTAAGTCTTTCGAGAGACGAAACAAGGTCAGATCAGTCGAGTAATTAGTACCAATAAATGATCACCACTTTTGAATTGTGGTTATTCTCTATGGAAGAGTATTGTTTCACACATATTGTAAACACAAGTGGGAATTTCGCGTGATGTATCACCGACTTAAATGAATGTGTGTGAGCAGAGATATTTCCAACCGAATTTCTATAATACAACGGTTCGGTCAATAACATCGCAAGGTTTCATTAGGGCATCATCACAAATGTCATCAGGTACACTTCCAATTTTGTTAGGCGTCATTTTGACGATGCTATGCACCAGTACTTAACAAATGACACTGAATTGTAAACATCACATTCTGGCACTAGGATAATCTGTTTAAACCACACTTACCAGTGAATGTTGGCATCCATATTCCACTTAACAGTTACATCCTCTTCAGAAGTGGTAATTAAGAAATATGTTGAAAAGTGAATCTCACCCTCTGCTTTGCGCCACCTTCTCATGCATGAGCAGTCTAGTTGTGCAAGACAATCACCACTTGTATCCATGAGTACATAATCGAGAGAGAGCAAATGTTTACTCATAATCATGTCAATGTAATCAAACAACAGTCGACATCTGATTTTCATAGTTAGTTCACCGCACATTCTTCCGTTTCATTGGCAGTAAAATCTTTGGAACCCTCTAGCAGATCACAGAAATAGCTCATGCTTGACACATCATGAAGTAAACTATATTGTGACACTGTGGGTCATGTCAAATAAACGAATGTGATATGGATATAAGGAGTAAACTTCATCGCCTCACACAATGCTCACATTACTCTTGTGTTTGTTCTTTCAGCTCAAGTCGTCTGTGTCATATATGCCAACGGGAATATATCTATTTACTATGAGAAGGTGAGAAGAATGCTTTCTGTGAGATATCTAAATCGTGTTGCTGAGATCAGTCAGTTGTGTGATTGATTTCCGGATTGTGTATCTTGCCTAAACTGTTGAAGCGCAATCAACTAGCTGGTCACATTCGTCTTTCCGCAGCAAACAGTTTGTGACAGTTGTGAAGACTATCTGAAATATTTCAGTTTTGTGATCAAAACTTGTTCATTTTTGTGTGAATTCGATTTCATTTCCCTTCCAACCAAAACTGAGAAAGTAAGATGTAGATTTGCTGCAACTGTGTGGTTCGTCAACTTAAATTTTGTTATGAGGTTACCAGATGTAGTATTCCAATGGTTATACACCCCATTTTCCCATTTGACTTTGCAGATACCGACTGAAGGTGTGAAACTATCAAGAAAAGTAGGGATTTTCGATAACTTCTATTTCTCAAAAGGTAATAAATGCATGGATAATGAAACCTGATTTGTTTGATCTTTTCTTTCCTGTTCATTTTGAGTTACCACTTACTTCATATTCATTTGAGGAGTGCATACAACGCGGCTTGCTGTTAGTACGTAACTGATCAGGTTTTATGAAGCCCTTCCTGACTGCATCATGCACTAGTCTGGTGTGTGTGATTCCATCAGATTTATGACAAATTGGTACTCTCAATGGTTGATTGATTACAGCGCCACCTATCATGTTTGCATGTGATTCGTACTGTGTCATCAGAAGCGGTCCATGGAGCAATCTTACTGACAACCACTGATGCTCGCTCACCTTACCGTTTGTCTCTTCCACATCAGAGATATTATTACAGGCATCTAGAAGTGGGGCTAATATTCGCTTCATTACGGTGGATCTCAGTTTTATCTAGTAAGTAATCACGAACAGAGTAAAACTCAAGTTAAATCCTGGTATCAAAAGCATATTCTGCATATACTGTTTGCATTTTGTAACCGTTTATTTCAGAATGAACAGACATGATGACGCTTTCTCGTCTACTCGCAGATAATTTTGGCATTTCGGATGATGTGCACTAAAGACGGAAAAGTAAGGGTTGTGAGTTGGACAGACAGAAGAACGTAAAAATTTGCAACCATTACAATTGGTTGGCAACAACGCAATCCACATTACTGTTAGTCATGTCATAGAAAGCCTAATAAACATTATCAGTTACAAAACACCAGTGGAAATGAATAATGCTTATTTTTCAGGATTACACAGTGATCTGATACTGCTGAAATCACAAATGATGACTTTTGATACATAAAACAATGCGTTGTCAATCACCGACATGTCCCAATCATCTGTAATGAAGGATTCAAATGATAGAACTGCTTAATGAATATCAAACGAGTGTATTCATCCCAGTTTCCTGTTCCCTATTTCTTTCAATAGATTCTACTGAACGGATGGTTACATACAGTTGGATTGCGATACCATTATCAATGGTAAAGTCTGGCACGCTGGTGGAATTCACTCCGAATAAAAGTATGTGCATTTGAAGTCTACTCAGTTAATTCCGTTGCAATTATTGAATACTGACACAGAAATCTCATTTCTTCCATGAATTCATGTGAAACGCATATTTCACTACTCAGCTACTGATACATTTATAGTAGGTTTTATTCTAGTGATTTCAGCTATTGTGCGTTATTCATAGGGTTATTTCGATTGGTTTCGTTCAATTCAAGTTGTTCTCTCTCTCTCCCCTTCTTGTGCAATGTGCTCACGCCAGAGGAAATTCATGTGAAAGGCAGAAAGAAGAGCCTATCACAGACTTTTCGAATTTATTCCGAAACCCCCTTGTAATGGGGATCCAGCAGTTTGAGCAACACATTTCCTGAGTACCAACTGATGAACAGAGTACATTGGGGAGGCATGAAAACGCTCTCAAACAATCAACAACCACAGAAGCTATGATCTTCTGTATTTTGTTGAAGCTATTAGAACCAAACGATGCAAACTAAAGTTGAACGTTCGGAAAACAGTAGTTAGGGTTTTTGGAACTCCAGGAGCTCATCTACACATCGTTCTGATGTTCTGTTCATTCACATAATATTTTATTGTCGTGATCATTTGTGCTAAATGTTTTACATTTACTTCACACTACACTAAGATTTTGTTCCAGTAAGGTCAACTTACTAAACTTTGTTTTCGGACTGTAATGAGCTTAACATTCCCCTGTATTCACATTCACAATCACCTTTCTTTATTTAGAACATTCTACTTGGGGTAGGACCTAACACGCCAGAACCAGTGGTATTTGAGGACGACGATAGATGATAATTGGCCAAATTAACTGAAGTGCTAGTTAGTGTGCAGTTGACTGACTGGTCTCGAAGATAGATTACTTCATCTTCAGGAAAGAAAAGACATCTTCCTGTGATAATTCCAGGCTAACCAGTTGACTGAATATTGAGTGCATGTAAGATTGCATGTCCTGTGATTAGTAGATGTCTGAGTGTGTCTTCAGAACAGCGAAATCGACAAGAACAAGCAGGTTTCTGAACTGATATTAGGGTGTATCAATTTGATTTTCATCCTCTGCCTGATTTCTCAAAAAAGCACACTCATGTGTATATTTTGAAGTTAAGGTGGCATTCAGCCACATGAATCGAGAGTTACCTTGAGAGTATCTGTGACTGAATAGAGTACTGTGTAGGTAAATCACCCTATTGAAGGGTGTACATTCAAACATATGTTGATGTGGCGCAGCCAACTATCGGGTATCAAGTGAATTATCCATGTCCAGTGATTTTAGTGAAGGCCTCACACCTTCATTATTTTCACCAAACTCTTTTATAGAGGTGGATATCAGTGTGTCACTCTCCTCGTCTGACTTCCATAACAGACAATGAATTCTTCTTAGGCTGTTTCCTTTCCACCCAGTGGTTAGCACTTTCTTCAGAATAGGTCTTGGCTAGTGCTTCGTCTGGTGGAAGTAAGTGAGGTTATCCGACATGGTGACTACTTCTCTTACTTATGCATTCGGATCAGAGTTGATGACCCAGTGACCAGTGAAATCTCTGTGTGGATACAGAATATTCGATCGATGTTTTCTAGCCAATATCTCATGTTGTCTGCGAGGCTATTATTCCTTATTAAATGTTCACCGCACCATTCATACGTTTACTCTGTTCCACTAGATGTCTACTAAACATGGTCTTTGAAGATGGAGGTCAAACAAAAGCCCTAGTTGTCTGGCCTCAGTTGGCTATGTAGACCAAGCCATCTGTGGTAGAATCACCACTTCAGTAACCTGGAATTTAGGTGTGACTTTTGGGTAGAAGAAAAGAGAAGAATGAGGAAGTTGCGAATCCTCATTGATTGAGTTGTCTGGGGAACGTAAACTGGATCTGTGCAGAATATAAGCTGAAGGCGAGTAGTCTACATGATGGTGAAATGTACATGAAGTTTGTGACCGTTGGTATAAGCAATGAAAAGAAACGAATACTCACTGATTATAGCCCGAGTAACCGGTGGAATCAATGATTGGAGACTTAAGATGATATAACTCAGATCGAATTCCACTGACACACACGCTTCCACACATCGTCTTCATACTAATTTACACATTGACTTTCTGTGTTGGTTCATCTATCCCTCCACTTATTTGATGACATTCGTCATGTTTGATTGCTGTCCACATTATTTCCTGATTTTTAGTATTTCTGACTTTAAACTAGATAGAGTGACGTGACGTGGGGTAACTTTACATGCTGGGCAGCAATTCCAGGTCTCACTTTGATACTTACAGACTGAATGACCGACTGCTTGACTGACCGGCTCACTCTTCACCTTACTGAATGAAATGACTATGAAATGACTATACATGTAAAATATTGACAGTTACCGCAACACTTACTTTGCTTCATGTGACTGAATTCTGATTAGTTGACTGGAGTTTGTTGGATTCACACCGCAAACACAGATTGAATTTGCGTAGGTGTGTGCGTAGCTGACGAGAACTTGAAGAAGTATCATGATATAGTGTTGCCTAGAACTGACTGTGCTTTATCAAAGTGACAGGTTTGTAGGCTGAAACATTCATCAACTATGTGATGATAATGGGATATGCGCGACCTGTGTATCAATCAAGAGCACTGATATTGTAAATCTCTTCAAATAATTGTCAGAGAATAATGATTTAGCGAATTGCTTTGACCTCCTGTTATATGCATCAAAATAGGTGAGCAAAATGAACCAGATGCCAGTGAACTGTCGCATCCTGAATGCATTCTTGTCGTATTAATTTACAAATCAAAGACAAATTATGAGTAGAACGTTAGACACAGGAATCATTTCAAGTAACATATAGTGTGATGTCTTCGGAGAAGGTGTAGTGAGTAGGATATTGATCAGGGCAGGCTGATTATAACAAGGTTTGGGGATGAACATGAGTCGTAGTTGAATTACTGCCATTTTTCATACGGTTATGGTGCTCTACCGATTCGGACTTCGATTACAATGCTGCCGAATACTGTTCTCTTCACTTATTCCGGCTGCTCAGAACATATCAACATATTCATATCCTGATGTAAAAATGAACAATTATTATGTTCGAAATGGTATCCAGCAAGTGATACAGTTTCACTTTGTGACATTACTTATAAACTGACTAAAATAGATTTATAACCTACTACAGTGATCACGTTCTACTCCTATATAAGAGATAGGGACTCGCTGGCGTTAACGCTGATGCTAAACAATCTGGTACGTTGATAGATCCTAGCATTAGATGAGGAGTCCCAGTATAAATTGTTCATGGTTCAGTTCCTAAATATTGTGAGTAGTAGTGAAGTAGAAACTTTACATGAGGCACTTTATTCGAACATTTTGAATTCTGACTAAGGACGTCGATCCATGGAAATCATACTTCCAAGCCTGAAATTTCCAGATATTTGAGTGTCTTAATTTGCTAAGACAAAGCACAAACATGCAACCTATTAAATGAGATATGGCGATATGGTGATGACATGCTTCTCGTATCCAATAACCTACATAAGACATCATGCCCATTGTCACTCTTCAGTAGTGTTCATGAAAACGCTGCGTTCACTAGTTAACATGAAAAAAATGATATTTTCAGGAACTTTAGACACTGCAGTTGAATGTAGAAAGGATGGTACTCTTAGATCACCTAGACTACACTTAAATTTCTACAAATTTCACCTGATCATTCTTAACAGACATTGGTCAAAACACCATTTTACGGAGCTTAAAGGATACTTGTAAATCACAAAGTAGAGAAAGCGTTGGTGGGCACTGATGATGCTCACTGGTTCAACCAAGCATCAATGGGTTTTTTTTTCTAATGGTACTTTTAATTGCATCTTAAAGTGAAAGTACACTTCGGGTTGCAGCCATATGACGAGAAGAGAGGGGAGGGCATATTTTCGATTCTCTTGACATGTGCCGAAGTGTCAACTACGCAGGAGGATCATTGCTTCTAGGAGTGCACTCACTCGGCATTTCACCGAGATTGGGAAGGTGTATGCCTGAAAATTCTCCAAATTGTTCAGCAAGCAGTGTGATAAAACGTTTCCGAATCTTACTGAGAATGTAGCGATCAGACAAGTGAAACCTGAATTTTGTGTCCAAAATGAAGTGGTGATCAGACCTACCTTGCCCTACTCACCCACTTTTCCAATCTTCATTTCATTCGGATGGCATTAGCTTATTACCAGCCGGCTGATTCATTCGTTTCCAAGGGGTCATCAAAAATACCTGCTTGTCCTGAACACAGTCTCCCATGAATAATTGTACCTGTCTAGATTTTGCCACGCAGCAGTATGAACCCGTTTTCCAGTATTGTCTAGAAGAGGTTCTGCGATGCACGTTGGACTTTCAAGACAATGATGTCATTCATCATCATAACAGCTAACATTTCAATGTTACGCTGTGAGGTGTACTTATTTCATGAGAGGTTTGGGAAAGGTTCCTTGTATTATCAGCTATACGACGAGGAACAGTGTATTCAACAGCCTCATCTACATGTTTTATTAATGAATCTATGCCGTTTCTAATAGGCTTAACATTTCAGTTCATCTGAATCTCAATAACAGTCCCTACGTTGAGAACAACTACTTCAGGTTTTCCAATATTTTCACAACACTGAAAACACCATCCGACATTAGGGGTAGTGCTACATTTACGTCCACATGCTAACTAGAACCACATCTTTCTTTCATTATATTATAGTTTGTTCGGAACAGACAGATCCGGACGCATGCAGTCAAGCATCTACAAATGATTTCCAGTGTTACTGGTGTCCAGAAATCAGTGTTTGCAGTAACGGTCGTGATGTCCACTATCCGAATTGGATAAATACGAATTGTTCAACTGAAGTGACCACTGTGAGTTTGATGCATTTACTTTAATCTGATTTCATTCAACACTAAATATTTATTCCGCTGTATATTAATGACCTATATGATAGTCATATGGGCGTTAACCAAGCATTTCCAAATGCAAAAGAAATTTGAAGACGGTTAGCACCGACAGTTGAAAGAGTTCCGGTGGCAGACATGAAGCTTCTGTGCTGTGGGCTACATTCTGGATAAATGGTTCCTCCCCAGCATGTTTCTTTATGCAGACAGCCTGTGAGTGAACCATGAAAACATCTCATGGTAATTAGACGAATGGAACAATCTCGAGGTGCGGTGATTATTATTGGTCACTTGAGGGAGGAAGAGAATTGTTGGTTGATATTACCATCAATATATGGTCCGCCATGTCGTTGACCACTGCTCTCATGTGAGCTGTCTTCCACTGCGTCATAAAGCAGATATCTATCTCATGGGGAGATTGTTAACACGCACCATTTCTAATTGAAGAAATCCATATTGCTGTCAAGTGTATCACTTGAAGTTCCGAAATTCTTTCGTTTATGTGTTCACCAGGGTCATATGATTAGGTACTTGCTAGATCACCTCATCGTGGAAGTCAGCCCCTTGTGTTCAATGAAGCTATAAACATAAGATTTTGCATTGGAATAGACGTTTATCTGGCAAAATATGAAAATGTGTACACGAACCAGTCATCATCATCATGAGTATCAACATAGGACCAGGCATTACTGCGAAACGATCCAAGTTGCCACAGCTCATCTCACATCAGTACATCAAGTAAAAAGGCAGTGAAGTGGAAGATGAAGAAGGAAAAAAAATTCAGTCAAAAGAAATGTAAAGTGCCAGAAGAGAGAAGGGAAGAATGAGAAAAAGGTGGGATTCGGTGTCGCATCGTTATGATGAGGACAATGTGTGTATACATCTGCGCCACTGACATCGCTTCTCAGCCATGTGATCACCTGGACTCAGTTTCCAACCACTGGTTCCTCTTGTCCCACGGACCCCAAACACCTAGTCTGCATCGCCCCACATGACTCAAACCAACAGTCAGAGACTTCATACATTGGTGCCATGTTTTAGTCTGTCCACCTCAGGCCCTTTTCCAGTCTGGACCTACTTTAGCCAACATTGTGTGACGAGGTGATCGACGACTAAGCATACATAATACGCGTCCCAACCATCTCAGTCGATGAAGGTTCATAACCTCGTCAACTGATTCACCTCTACTCCCTAAATCTCTACATCTGACTTCTGCATTACTCACGTCGTGACACCACAGAGTATGGCCTACACTACGAAGACAACATTGGTCAAACACCTGAAGACTTCTCATGTCTTCCACCTTCAATGGCCATGTTTCACAGTCATACAGTGCAACAGACCGGACTGCTGTGCACTACATGCGACACTTAATAGACAATCGGATATCATGGCGGCACCACAGGTGGCGTAAGTTGGTGAAAGCCAGACGAGCCTTTTGCACCCATGCAGAGATTTCATCGGCAACTGAGCCAGCCACCATGGTTGATCCCACTTCCCAGGTAAGTGAAGTGGTCGACACACTGTACCTTTACACTCTCTATTGTTAGCCAGGGAACCGTTGAAGACCAATCTTGGAGTAACAATTTGCATTCGGGTGGTGAGAAACACATTCCAAACATTCTCAAATTAACACTCAGTGTTCAGAAGACTGCATCTTGTTAGCGTCTTCACATAACAGGACAATGTCATCTGCATATTTTAGGTCTAACGAAAATTCTCCTGTGATTAGGTCAACGTCTGTGTAACCAGGCGACGAGAGGGGAACCTCGATAAAAATATCTATGATAAAGTTGGATAAGAATGGAGAGGGTGGGCACGCTTGACGGACACCACTCGATGAGTACAGCTCACCGGACATCTCACCATAGGCTCTAGCACGCCCACAAGAGTTCGAGTCGAGAACCCTCAGTAAGGTGACGTACTTACTCTGCATGCCTCTCAGTGGAAGATATTGCCATAAGACTTCTCGATTAATGGGGTCGAATACCGCCTTCAGGTTGGGCGTTGGCAAGCGTACCTATGTTCCAGAACCTGGCGCAGTGTGAATATTTGATTGATACACCCGCGGCCGGGTCTAAAGCCTATCTGGTTTTCTTGGGCTTGCTGTTCCCGAGCGTCGAAGAATTATAAGACCTAGGATCTTGGACACCGTGTTCGTCAGGCTGATTCCTCTGTGGTTATCACAGGAGTACTTCTCGCCTTTCTTGAAGACTGGGATAATCAGTGACTTAGACCAGTCAGAGAGGATCATATTTAATGCCCATATACTTGTCAATACTTCCATTAACCTGACTAAGAGCAGTCTACCACCATCCTTGTAATACTCTGGAGTTAGTCCGTCTGGTTCTGCCGCCGTTCCTCGTTTCAGGTTACATACTACTCTTTCGACTTCTGCTAGTGTTGGGGGGCTTATCTCAATGTTCTGTCCAGGATCCGACTGGATAGCGGGCAACGCAATGATGGCTGGAGGCCACCACCACCACGTAGGAACGTTTGGCTTTCGGGAAGAGACTAGACAGTTTGTGGTAGAACTCGTCCCTCACTCCATCCAAACTGCAGTCAGTGGGTGCGTAGACGGACACTACAAAGAGACAACGGCGAGTCCTACTACTCCCTTTAGTTCCCACTGCGCCGTTCGGTTAGATAGCGCTGAGATGATTATCACCTGGGATCCAGTCTAATAGTGAGTTTTCTAATAATATAGGTGTAACTTTTGGGCACTGTGGTAGAATTTAATTCCTTATTAGATTTGTTTATTTGATTTATAACCCACAGTGATCTAGTATTATTTACTTGAAGACGTTTCGAGCATAAATTAATGCTGATAATCATATCAATGGTTATGAGCATTAATTTATGCTCGAAGCGTCTTCAAGTAAATAATACTAGATCACTGTATGTTATAAAACAAAATAAGCAAATCTAATACGGAAGTGAGTTTTCTGCTCTAGTGCTATATGCTATGCCTACACCTGCAAGACCCCGAGAGCTGGCTATCGAATCCCCAGAAACTCGAAGGGTGAATTTTGCGGATTCACCAGATTGGCCGGGAGAGGTAAAGTGAATAAGCGCGATTGGGTCCTATATGCGTGTCTCACAAACACAGCACACATCCGTGGCCCGAGTTGCCAGAATCTTGGCCAACGAAACCTGCTACCAATTTGACGGAGGGTGTGGATATTGAAGGCTCTAATATGTGATTTGAAGCGCGGTTTTAGAAGAGACCAAGGGTACTGTTTTGTGGACTCAGATCGTTGTCGAAGGCTGCAGAGCTAGGAGAAATTGAAGATGATGTAGTATCGTTGGTTGAGAGACGTGAAGGAAGATTAGAAGGCAATGATGGGGGAGGTCGATAGCAGTCTGAGGAAACTTGAGTGCTGATCGAGTTGTGAGGGTGATCGACACTTCCCGGCTGCCCACACCGTGGAAGGCTATTTCTTCTTAAGGTACCTGAAAGAGATTTGTGTGACCGCAGAGCCCATCGGACATCTACTTGAGGCCTGTCACACGTAGCCGCTTGAGTATGATTATTTTGAAATTTTGTATTTTTGGGGCCGGATGGTAGAAAAGAAACGACAAATGAACCAACATCACCGGCCCAGCGGACCGTGGGGCATGATGGAGTGTGTCATTTTGGGGCGTGACCTTTTCTGACCCTCCCTTAGGCTCAGAAAGCAGCATCGGTATGGCACTGCTGGTCATCCAAGGGAAACAACTTACTGCTGTCACACCCCATCCAGCCAGCAGCAGTACGACTTCGCCCTCAGACCCCACCACAGTGTAGTAATGTACACCAAAACGGCAACTGCTTTTCGTCTAACCACTATTCAACAGACATTTCTAGTATGGTAAGACATCGAGAGAACAAGTTTCCCACCAGCATAGCTCGTTGGGTCATTGTGATATGCAAGCCTGACCACCGGGTCAAGGTAGTATCTAGCGATCAAGGTATACGAGCCAAAAATGTCATCTGTTTGTAATGCGAACATCGACCACTGAGTGGTTTTGAGGCATGCAACCTGTGGCTAGTAAAGATAATGAGAATGATGAAGTTTATAAACGCTGCTCCCAAATTGAAAGGTGATGCGCTCTCATTTACTTCATGTTTGTATATGAAGGGAAATATGTAGGCCAGTTTTTCCATGCGCACATAGAGTTTTTCAGCATAAAAATATGTTGACAGAATGGAATGACGCTTAATAATGTTTTTCTGAAATCACTTTCAGTGCCATTAAAAGTAAGTTTGCCATCTGACAATGCAGTCATGGGGAAAAGATTATTACATATCTAGTCCCGCTGAAAAATTCTAAAACTAAGAGCACAAAGACATCTGAAGTCCTGGTCGCAATAATCTCATGACACATTTCAAATACGTGAAAAAAAACGACGATTTGAATTCCAAGATAAAGTTTTAAGATAGGTAAATCAAGGAAACACAAGATTAGCAACAACGAATCAGAGTGAAAGCAATAGAATTACATATATCATATCAAAGACGGAAAATTCTGAAACTATGGAAAAAGAGGGAATAGCTAGTTCAATAGTTACTAGCTGGTCCTAAGACTGGATAAAGAGGTCAGGATGGGCATATGGCTAGCTACCCTACCCCATAAAACCAATCCAACCGCTAAAGAAACTTCAAAGAATAAAGAAAATATGGAACATAAAATTAAAGTCATTCCTAGCTGGAACCGGAGGGACGAAATGACGCCAGTTGGTGAAAGCCATCGAAAAGCAAAGTGGCCGACTTCTATTCTCTCGATGACAGCAAATCTGAACATGGGCACATGGAATGTCCGAACAATGCTTGAACCGAGCAAGGCTTCCCAGACTGCCAACGAGATGAGAAGGTATAGCATAGAAGTGCCAGGCTGAGAATCTGAAGAAGCATATGGAATGGAAGCGGACACTCCCAGATGTCAACTGGAGAGTTTAAAGTTTACTCCGACATTGTCACCCACACGACACGACACGACAACCACGAACACACTGGGTTATGGAGTGGCGATCATGATGTCTCCAAGAACATCGAAGGCTCTCGTGCAGTGGAAACCAATCTCCCCCTCCAGTATCAGGATCATGACACAAAGATCCAACTCAAAAAGAAGGAAAGTCACAATCTTTCGATTCTACGTTGCACACCTACAAATAATGGAGATGAAGAGAAGAATGAGGAATTCTACAGACAATTGCAATCAGTAATGGACAAGTCTCCACGCCAGTTGGCGACGGCGACATCAAAATTCTAATGGGTGGGTTGACATGAATGCGAACTCGGAGCGGACAACACAGGAAGAGAACTGATTATGGGTTGAGAAGCACTCGGTGAAGTGATGAACGGGAATGGAGGAATGTTTGCAGATTTTTGTGCATTCAACGATTTGTTGATTGGAGGCAGTGTGTAAAAACACAGGGGCATTCACAAAGCGAGCGACATGGATTTGATTTCACCAGACACCAGGACATACTACACTCAGAATCAGATCGACTTCATCTCAATGTGAAGAAAGTGGAGACGCAGCCTACTGGACACAAGATGAGATGAAGAAGGGGAGCAGATGTAGGTTCATACCACTCACCATCTAGTGCAAGGAATCCACCTTAAATATCAAGTTGAAAGCCTTCACAGAAGCTGGTGGTGATAGACCACAATTCAAGTTCGACACCTAGGGACTGAAGGACGAAATCACAAAGGACATCTTCGCGTCAAGCATCAGGACAAAATGGTAGATATCAAGCAAAATCCCTGAGGATACCTGCTCGGAAGAACACTGCAAGTGTTAGAAAGCGATGTAGAAAGAAATCTCCATAACCATGTTAAGAAGGAAGAAGAAAGATGATAATTAGTGGATCTCAAAGGATACACGGGAACTGATGGAGCAGAGAGAGGGAGATGGTGAAGCAGAAAACGAACAAGTGCAGTGCAGCGCAAGGATGAACAGCGGAGAGAGGAACTAAACACAATCTATAAAACCATACACTGGACAAAGGAGTGAGGAAAAGACAAATTTATGCTCGAAATGTCATCAAGTAAATAATACTAGATCACTGTGTGTTACAAACCAAATAAACAAATCTAATATGGAAAAGACAAAAGAAACCTCTACGACACATTTGCAAGTGAAGCAAAACAGGCTGCAGGTAAGAGAGACAGAGACCAGAAAACGCTGTACCCAGTAACCAGGTTACTATCTGTGAGGGAAGAGATCAACAAAGATCGAACCAATGGGAGACAGTGAAGAAAAGAGAAGAAACAAGGGAAACGATGGGCTAATCACTTCAAAAACTCTTGAATCGACCACCACAACCACAACCACAACCAACAACTGCAAGTCGGCCAGAAATACCACCAGCAGTCCAGCCACATAGCTACCAGTGAACACAAGCCCTCCGACTAAAGCAGAAGTGAAGTCCTGAACGCCATAAAGATACTGAAATCCGGGAAAGCAGCAGGACCAGATGGAATTCCACCAGAAGCACTGAAAACACACGCAGAGACAACAGCGGAGACGCTCACACCACTTCTACTGCTGAAGGTTTGCAGGCAAGGAAGGAAGGAAGGAAAGGTAGCTGCCAACTCATTGGAAGAAGGCCTACCTTGGGATCTCGCCACCGACGATGATGTTTTATGTCCAATGTGTTTTCGCACAAACTCGAAGATCTACAGACGAAAACCAACAAGTTGGCAGAAGAGGGAGGGCAGTGAAGACGGGACTTCCTTCAGATGAACGTAGCGAAGTCAGAGGTGATAGAGATACCCAAACAACGACAACAAGGACAAGAAGAAGAAGAAGAGGGACGCCACTACCATCGGTGGGAGAGATCTGAAGGAAGTAGTCTCCTTCACCTATCTAGGCAAGGCAGCATCGTTTCAACTACAGGCGGTGGTGGCGGCACAAATGAGGATGTCAGATCCAGGATTGGAAAGACAGCAGGACAGGCCTTCATTTATCTGAAGTCAGTATGGAGCTGTTGTGCACTGCACTGCACTGCACTGCACTCAGCGTAAAGTGTGAACAAGATCCGGATTTCCAACACTAAAGTGAGTCAAGTCAGTGCTTCCATATGATGGTTCAGGAACTTGACGGCGCGTTTCGAAAAGCATTTCCAACAAACAACTGTGGACATAAATCATGAACAGCTGCTGCCTACGCTCACTCGAAAGTGACGCCGAAGATCAGATGGATGGCCATTAAGAATAAGAATAAGCAACAAGGAACACACTCTGGCTGGTTGGCTGGCTGGCTGGCTGGCTGGCTGGCTGGCTGGCTGGCTGGCTGGCTGGCTGGCTGGCTGGCTGGCTGGCTGGCTGGCTGGCTGGCTGGCTGGCTGGCTGGCTGGCTGGCTGGCTGGCTGGCTGGCTGGCTGGCTGGCTGGCTGGCTGGCTGGCTGGCTGGCTGGCTGGCTGGCTGGCTGGCTGGCTGGCTGGCTGGCTGGCTGGCTGGCTGGCTGGCTGGCTGGCTGGCTGGCTGGCTGGCTGGCTGGCTGGCTGGCTGGCTGGCTGGCTGGCTGGCTGGCTGGCTGGCTGGCTGGCTGGCTGGCTGGCTGGCTGGCTGGCTGGCTGGCTGGCTGGCTGGTAACGAACCAACGAAGAACGCATCGCTCAACAAACATGCAGAAGGAAGTGGAGATGTATTGGACTGGACATACACTGAGAAGACCGATAGTGAAGATCACGCACCAGGTCAGGTGGTCGGGTGGAATGCAAATGGGAAGTGACGAGTTGGGCGTCCGAGGCGAGGGCTACATGGAGGAGATGGTGTGAGGAAACAATGGAAGCTTGTGGGTGTTTGTGGAGCTAGGTTGAGAAGACTGCAGGTAAGAGAGTGGAGTGGAGATGTGTTACTGAAGCCCATCTGTTGCACTTAGGATCTATTGGCAAATTATTACAATTGTATTAGTTACCCGCTGTCTTTCCCACTCACCATCACTCAAACCTTGTATTTTTTTAACTGTTGTAGATTTAGTGATGCCTATTAAATGATATCTCTGACGTGGCATCTTTATGAGAGAATCAAGTCACCTTTTTCAATTTATTTACTTTGTGTACTTCATGGAATACTGGCGTTACTTTCTCTCTTGTACCTAAAACCAACCTGTGTTACGTTTCTCTCAGCAAATCAGTTTTCATCTAGATTACTCTCCCCTCAGCCCCCATCTCACTTTTCCGTATGTCTTAGATCGTGTAAAGCGTATCCGCTTCCCTATTCACCTCAATATTAACTATCACAAAAGCTACACAGTCACAATTCTCATCCAATCGTGGTCTCTAGTATGTGCTCTTCATACACAATGCTAGCAACCACATTTTCCATGTAGCAAATATCTGCTCCGAGTATATTTGAAGTAGCTTTATTTGCCACCGTAAAACTGCTGAAGCTATGAAATTAGGTACATTTACATCCTATTACAGAAAAAGCAAAGATTTGTGTCGGAATGTGCGCAGTTAGCATTCACAGTCAAACTGGGAGATCATCTTATATTTATCAAGGCTTCATCATATTGAGAAAGCAGAAAGATATTCACAGTGGACTGGGTCTGAATCACCTACAGCAAAGGTAAGTCAATATGTTTCTGCAAGTGAATACAGCTCATAACCAAAAACAAACCTCTTTCTTCATCTCACTTCAGAGTGAACCAATTTATTCGAACCCCAGTTGGGAGACAACCGACAGAAGTGAATCGCCTCTGTCAACTCAGTCTCACACTTACGAAGGGCCTGATTATTCTGGCGAAACAATGGAAAATGTAACGGATATTCTCGAAACTACAGAGGAAGATTCCGACCACAGTGAGAACCAGAAAACTACACGTGGCACTTCGGATTTGATATTTGGTGAATCGAATATCTTCCTATACATCGCGGTGTCATCTGGAGTGATTATTGCAGCTGTGATGGTTGGATTCACCGTGTGGCTGTTTATGTGCAGGAAGAAGTGAAAGGTGAGTTGTTAAGAGGTCCAAGGACGCTCGTTTGAGTCATGAGGTCATGAAATGAGAGTAGAAGTGTTTTGCTGTGGAAATATGTGGTAGTGTAGATGACTCTTACAACCTTCATATGTGCATTGTCATCTGGACCACTTTTAGATACAGCAATGTCAGATAAGCGTGACAGATAACGCTCGGATTTAAATTTCATGTTTTAACAGCTTTCCCATCATGGTTTGTAGTTAGAAATGGGTTGTGAACTTTTTAAATAAGGTTTTCATGCTATATGCATATGCGATGACACCTGTTGTTGTCAGATGAAACAAAATACTGAGGAAGTCTTTCAATTAGTTTGTTGGATACACTGCAATTTCGTGAAGTGTTTTATTTTCTAGGCATTCGGTAGGGCTGTAAAACTGCGAAAAGTCAAGTTGTTAGTGTATATAGTTGACTAAACAGACAGTGAAACCATTGCATGATTCCCTAGCTTCAAATATGACTTCTGACTACACACCTAACCATACGATGTAACAGCTTGAAACCTCAAAAACCTTCGATTCACGTTTTCCTGTTCAGTTCAAGTGACATCAGAAAACAATTTCAGACTTTTTTTGGTAAGATATAACCTTTTCTGTCCAACAGGTAATCCTAACTGCAGCTTTTATCATAATTACTGTGGACACTCACTACTCAAATATTTCAATGGATTCGTGTTTCGGAGTGCTGATTGCATCGAAATATTCGCACAATTGAGATACTTATTAATAGAGGTGACATCTGTCGTTAACATGTGTTGCACCCAAATCTTATTCACTCACACGTTTCAGGCTTTCATTTGTTACTCACCAACCGTGGACGTTTTTCCAATATGGGTGGTAATCGGGTTGGTTCAAACCTTTTGAAATTAGTGGGAGCATTTTGTTCCCACTAGTCCAGATTTATTCGAGGCTTTGATCATGCATCTATTATCAAGACAAAGTGGAATCCTTGTTTATATTCGCTCGAGGGTGAACACAATCACAATTTTGAATGATGATGTGAAACTTTTCCATAGGCAATGACATGTAGCTCAAGGAGATGAAATCATATTGTCAGCGTTCGTTATACCGGACGTCTAAATTGAAGGGAATTCACTGAGTCTTCAGACGTTACTCCAGCATTTTGTAAGTGAAGCACTTATTTCAGAAATGTCTTTCCACCTAATCGATTCCTCTCACCATACACAGGGACAAATGTTTAGCAGTCAAGCAATAATTCATGCATACATATCAACCGACTCTGTATCCGACACTGACTTTTCTTGCATGCATCGTTTGATACATTCACACTGTTGCGGACAAATTCAGTCCAGTTCTGATTTCAAATAGACTTTTGACTGTTGTCTGAAGGTTTTGGAATGGATTGAAAAGGATTGAAGTCTTCGAACTGTCTACTGAATTTGGGAACATATCACATGGGAGGCTATTTCAACAAGTTGATCTCATCACCTAATAATATATGTATGGTCACCATGATTGACAGTAAGTCACATTCTCAGACACTTCTCTAAGGTCAGTCTCGTTTTCCTTCCTTCTGCCTCTGGTATGATCATCATTTATCCCAGTGATTCGACCTCATGCAGTATACGGCATATCTTATAAAGTTAACATTTCCTACTGCACAGAAACTGCATCAAATATTCTACTTCCAGAGCAAAGTGATCAACAGTTATCAGATGATTGAGCTGATGATCTGAGTCAACCGTTACAGAACTTATTTTGCAAAGATACGAACAGACTGGACCAATTTTATAAATTACCGAGTTATCGCGATCCTGTAGTTATGACACTTTGCATGTCCTCGTAAATAATTCGTTTTTCACTCGTCAACTTCTTACTCATATTTTCTTCATTTCTTTCACCTTCCAGACACAGTGAAAACGAGCGTTGCGGCTTAAGAATTCTCGTTATTGTCCACTAGAATTGCATGCCGCAGTAGCAGCGTTGGTTTCGAAGAGACACTGCTTCATTTGTGAATACATGTGGAAACTCTTCACCCTTATCGCACATTTTTTCTCCATTTATAAATCACATATCAATTTCAAACAAATTATTTCACCTGTAATTACATTTGTATTGCTTTCTGCTTATGTTCTTTGTTAGCAACCAGATATATTGTTCGCCATTTCTGACTGTTTTTGATTCATCGTCATGAGTGAAAAACAGTAGCCCATGTCATTTGGTTGAAGGCAGTCGGCAGGAAGCCTTCTTGACTCAGGTTTCTTGCTTGTTGACATTCTTCATCAAAGCGCATGTACAACCTCGAGGGAACTGTTGTCCCCTCTGAGATTGCAGCCCACATCAACCATTTCTGTAGCCAGCGAGGTTATGTCTCAGCTATTTCGGTCACGATCAACCTCCTGTTGGACTGGATTAGATGCATTGTGGAGGTCTATTTTTGTTTTAGATAGCAACTATTTCAAGGTACTTCTCTTGATTTCGCCAGTAATCACACAATTCGTAGTTGACCAACTCATTTACAGCAGATGCGTAATACAAACAACACTGTTGTTTTAGCAGCAGAATGCCTTTCACTTATCGGTAGCAGGACACAGAACAATAAATGAATTTCCTCAGTATGGTCTTCGAGGGCAAATAACAGGAAACGTAATAGGCAAAACAGTACATGACCACTAAGTGTTGAGTGGCAATTAGAAGGTGTTGGGCTGCCCCTTGTTATTGAATTCCAGGAAGTTCGCTGCCGAACACCAAATGAAATCATATGATAATCAATCAAGATTATTTTATTCACTTGTCTAAGAAAAAATCGCCTAGATAACGAGTTCACCAGTTACTAGCTGATCCTTAGACTGGATAAAGAGGTCAGGATGGGCATATGGCTAGCAACCCTACCCCATAAAACCAATCCAACCGCTAAAGAAACTTCAAAGAATAAAGAAAATATGGAACATAAAATTAAAGTCATTCCTAGCTGGAACCGGAGGGACGAAATGACGCCAGTTGGTGAAAGCCATCGAAAAGCAAAGTGGCCGACTTCTATTCTCTCGATGACAGCAAATCTGAACATGGGCACATGGAATGTCCGAACAATGCTTGAACCGAGCAAGGCTTCCCAGACTGCCAACGAGATGAGAAGGTATAGCATAGAAGTGCCAGGCTGAGAATCTGAAGAAGCATATGGAATGGAAGCGGACACTCCCAGATGTCAACTGGAGAGTTTAAAGTTTACTCCGACATTGTCACCCACACGACACGACACGACAACCACGAACACACTGGGTTATGGAGTGGCGATCATGATGTCTCCAAGAACATCGAAGGCTCTCGTGCAGTGGAAACCAATCTCCCCCTCCAGTATCAGGATCATGACACAAAGATCCAACTCAAAAAGAAGGAAAGTCACAATCTTTCGATTCTACGTTGCACACCTACAAATAATGGAGATGAAGAGAAGAATGAGGAATTCTACAGACAATTGCAATCAGTAATGGACAAGTCTCCACGCCAGTTGGCGACGGCGACATCAAAATTCTAATGGGTGGGTTGACATGAATGCGAACTCGGAGCGGACAACACAGGAAGAGAACTGATTATGGGTTGAGAAGCACTCGGTGAAGTGATGAACGGGAATGGAGGAATGTTTGCAGATTTTTGTGCATTCAACGATTTGTTGATTGGAGGCAGTGTGTAAAAACACAGGGGCATTCACAAAGCGAGCGACATGGATTTGATTTCACCAGACACCAGGACATACTACACTCAGAATCAGATCGACTTCATCTCAATGTGAAGAAAGTGGAGACGCAGCCTACTGGACACAAGATGAGATGAAGAAGGGGAGCAGATGTAGGTTCATACCACTCACCATCTAGTGCAAGGAATCCACCTTAAATATCAAGTTGAAAGCCTTCACAGAAGCTGGTGGTGATAGACCACAATTCAAGTTCGACACCTAGGGACTGAAGGACGAAATCACAAAGGACATCTTCGCGTCAAGCATCAGGACAAAATGGTAGATATCAAGCAAAATCCCTGAGGATACCTGCTCGGAAGAACACTGCAAGTGTTAGAAAGCGATGTAGAAAGAAATCTCCATAACCATGTTAAGAAGGAAGAAGAAAGATGATAATTAGTGGATCTCAAAGGATACACGGGAACTGATGGAGCAGAGAGAGGGAGATGGTGAAGCAGAAAACGAACAAGTGCAGTGCAGCGCAAGGATGAACAGCGGAGAGAGGAACTAAACACAATCTATAAAACCATACACTGGACAAAGGAGTGAGGAAAAGACAAATTTATGCTCGAAATGTCATCAAGTAAATAATACTAGATCACTGTGTGTTACAAACCAAATAAACAAATCTAATATGGAAAAGACAAAAGAAACCTCTACGACACATTTGCAAGTGAAGCAAAACAGGCTGCAGGTAAGAGAGACAGAGACCAGAAAACGCTGTACCCAGTAACCAGGTTACTATCTGTGAGGGAAGAGATCAACAAAGATCGAACCAATGGGAGACAGTGAAGAAAAGAGAAGAAACAAGGGAAACGATGGGCTAATCACTTCAAAAACTCTTGAATCGACCACCACAACCACAACCACAACCAACAACTGCAAGTCGGCCAGAAATACCACCAGCAGTCCAGCCACATAGCTACCAGTGAACACAAGCCCTCCGACTAAAGCAGAAGTGAAGTCCTGAACGCCATAAAGATACTGAAATCCGGGAAAGCAGCAGGACCAGATGGAATTCCACCAGAAGACTTGACTGACTGACTGACTGACTGGCTGGCTGGCTGGCTGGCTTGCTGGCTTGCTGGCTGGCTGGCTGGCTGGCTGGCTGGCTGGCTGGCTGGCTGGCTGGCTGGCTGGCTGGCTGGCTGGCTGGCTGGCTGGCTGGCTGGCTGGCTGGCTGGCTGGCTGGCTGGCTGGCTGGCTGGCTGGCTGGCTGGCTGGCTGGCTGGCTGGCTGGCTGGCTGGCTGGCTGGCTGGCTGGCTGGCTGGCTGGCTGGCTGGCTGGCTGGCTGGCTGGCTGGCTGGCTGGCTGGCTGGCTGGCTGGCTGGCTGGCTGGCTGGCTGGCTGGCTGGTAACGAACCAACGAAGAACGCATCGCTCAACAAACATGCAGAAGGAAGTGGAGATGTATTGGACTGGACATACACTGAGAAGACCGATAGTGAAGATCACGCACCAGGTCAGGTGGTCGGGTGGAATGCAAATGGGAAGTGACGAGTTGGGCGTCCGAGGCGAGGGCTACATGGAGGAGATGGTGTGAGGAAACAATGGAAGCTTGTGGGTGTTTGTGGAGCTAGGTTGAGAAGACTGCAGGTAAGAGAGTGGAGTGGAGATGTGTTACTGAAGCCCTCTGTTTCACTAGGATCCCAGAGGACATGTTTCATCCGGAAGAAGTACGATCTATAATGTTGTTTTGTGTTCTGAATACTAGGCATTTGAATTTGAAATTCGTCGGTTTCTGGTAGCTGAGTTTCATTCAGTCTTGGTCATGCGATATTGCATATACTGAGAAGACGGTGATTTGCATACTGAAAGTGCAAAATTTAACAATTCATTTTGATTTTCAAAGTCTAGTATTCTACGTTTACTCAGATGCACAAAATTATATGCATTGTGCGAAACATTTTCACGGCTCAGCAGTTTGAGTAATCAGTGAGAAATCTCAATGCGTTAGTCGTTTTCTCAGAAAAAAGCAAGCAAATAAATTCTTGTATATATTTTATGTTTATTTCTAGTGACTTTAATTAGGCTGGAAATAGTGTAACAATATTCTTAATTAAATTGACTGTGTGTTGATAACGACAATTTTGTGTGGTTTCATGGAATGTGACCTACTAGACGTGTGCTTGTATCTTATTTTCATTTGTGATACACTAAATGACACGTATACGGCTTACTCATTATGACTGGCGTTGATAATTAATCATATGCTCTACACACTTGGATAGTACTCAGTATGCTTATTTTATAACTGTTGTGAACTATTTCAAAAGATAAGAGAACAATGTGCAACCTGTTCAAATCATTGTTAAAATTTTTTTGTCTCATTCACTGTGAGTTACTTGCATTTTTTGACGACAAGAAGCAGTAAAATACCCCTCAAATACTGAGGAGTTTTCACTGTCATTCATCAGACTACACTGATGCCCATCGCTGATCCTGACTGACTGACTGACAGACAGACATCAGTTGGTGCGTTGAATGTACCACATGGCTGTGTGGCACAACGAGCAGATATCTGATCACTTTTGCCTGAGAATCTGAATTTAATTCGACGCATGCAAGACAACTGTCGGAGATCAACAGTGACTTCCCATAAACTGATAGTAAAGTAATGACACCGATAAAGTTGGTCGCTGTGTTAACACTCATCTGTAGATAATGATTGAAGACAGTCAACCGACTGTTTCCTTTGGCTGGCCAGACGTCCGAAATCTTCAATTTCTTGTGAACTAACACCAGTTAGATTCTGATTCCATACAGAGTGAAACAGATAAGGGTTCCATGGTTCTGTTTTTATTAGAAGATGACGAACTCATTCAGATTTCCCACTGATTACTCAAACCATTGAGTCATGAACATTTTCACACAATATCTATCCTTCAACAAAGTTATTAGTATTCTTGAGGATGAAATTTTCCGTGTACTCATTCTCTTTGACAGGTATCTCAATAATGTAGAATTCTTCTTCTTGTTTATCTTTTTAGTGCAATCTTCTTATTCCAATAAAGTGCATCTTGACTAAACCACGCTCATGGCTGAAAGGAGAGGAAGTATCGTTTTGAATGAACTGACCAATTCACGGGTCTTTCTTACGGGGTAGTTTCCTCAAGTGTACCATCACATCTCCGCCGCACACTTAGATCCAAAACTTTCAACCAGTCCTAATTCTCTCATACTTCACTCTGAAATTCCTATTTGAATAAGCTTGGTTGAAGGTATCGAACTACTCTTATGAATAATTCATATCATGACAAACGGTGAAAGTAACATCGAAATACCTGAAGTAATATGTTGCTTCCTTGATTGCAGAGATCTG